AATATTCCTTTTTCTACTATAGATCCTTATTGAGGAAGTTAGTGTCACTTTAGAGTTATCTTAGAGAGTAAATAAAAATGGAGCTAACTAATGTTGGAAATGACATGACTGATGAAGGATGTTTACAGTTTTAAAGACTGCTGATAATTAACTAAAATACAAACTGCTGGCATGCCCAGATAACAAACTACAATTGGATTAATCCTACTACTTCTTTCCCAAATTCTGAGAGGAAATTTTTTGAATTCTTCTCACTAACATTAGATTGAACAACATAATATAGTGTTGGTATATTTAAATTTTATTTTTATTTCCTTGGTTTTAAAGTTACTCTATTTATATTAATAAATGATATTTTCGGGGCCAGCACTGTGGTGCAGCGGGTTAATGCCCTGGCCTAAAGCACCAGCATCCCATAAGGGCGCCGGTTCTAGTCCCGGCTGCTCCTCTTCCAATCCAGCTCTCTGCTATGGCCTGGGAAAGTAGTAGAAGATGGCCCAAGACCTTGGGCCCCTGCACCCACGAGGGAGACCCGGAAGAAGCTCCTGACTCCTGGCTTCGGATCAGCGCAGCTCTGGCCATTGCAGCCATCTGGGGAGTGAACCATCGGATGGAAGATCTCCTCTCTCTCTCTCTCTCTCTCTCTCTCTCTCTGCCTCTCCTCTCTCTGTGTAACTCTGACTTTCAAATAAATAAATAAATCTTTTAAAAAAATCAAACAAAAAAAGTAAAAAAAATAAACGATATTTTCCATCACTTCGGCATGTACTTTTGGTATAATAAAAATATACAATATCACTATTATGATGGAATATCATCTCACTTATGATAAATGCTACCAACTTTTATCAGAGAAAATACTGAAAAGATCTGTTGAAGTCATTTGATAATCAAAGAATACCAGTAAGAAAATCTTCTAAGTTTACCTGAGAGAAAAAGATGTAGAAACTAAAGAAGAAGTTAGGGCTACTTAGGTTTATTTTCTTCAACTTTTTTCTATCTGAAAATACTTTCTTACATGGCCCAAGATTGTTAACATAAAAATAAGCACAACAATGTATTTACCTTGCTTAAAATGGCTAATTTTACAATTTAGTCACAAGAATTATATACTAAGCACTAAATAGGTATATGTAAATCTGAAAATGTATCATCCAGAATCTAAATTATGCTTTTAAAATTATATTTTATAAAACATAGTCACTATAAACTATAAAACTGCTTATTCCCCCATCTTTGCTTTATATTCTATCGATGTATAAAATCTAACAGTGTATAAAAACAGATGACTGTTTTTATTTGAACATATATGTATGTAGGCCCTGCAGAATAAAGTATTGACAGTTAACTCAGAACCAAAAAAAAATTATTTTCCCTGAAATATTTCACTGTGAAAAAATAGTAGTATCTTCAGAAATTTTTGCAAGAAATTCACATTTTGAGAGTAGCATGCATAATGTAAAGGCTCCTACCTAAGCTTGTCACTTTGTCACATGGAAAATATGCACAGAAATAACTTCTCTGGTAGGGCATAAGGATCATCATTAGATTTGCTACGCATCTTACCTTACCAGAACAGTCAACTAGTCAGAAAATGTTGTGAAGGCATATCATCAAGTGTATGCTATAATTTCATTAATGGTAGGTACTGAGAACAGTCAAGAGTTTAATGTTAAATAAAGTCAGACTCCTCTCCTCTATATAAGCAGCCCCAAAACTATTTTCCTGACAAGGGAGAAAAGTGCTCCCTGAGTTTATCCCTGGTTAATGAAAGTTTGGCACAGCTATCTTTTTCTATGTTGAGGGTTTAAACAGCTATCACAGCATTTCACAGATTTAAACTTGAATTGAAAGGCTCTTCTTTTCTCCAAAAGAAAAATAGTCACATATTACTTACATAGTAATTACAGGCTATGCAGCTGCCCTACAAAGCTTTACTATAAATGTGTTAAACATGAACCACTACACAAACCTTATTCAAGTTTAATTAAACGTTAAGCCAAAGAAATGTCATCCTCCACACCAATTGCATACAAGAACAATGGCCAGCTCCCTTGTCTGAGACCTAAATAATGTAATAGAATCAATGGTGTTGATTTAGCCTATGATTGGCTAAAATCAGTAGTGCTATTCCTCACCAAGTAAAGAGGGCTCTTTTTCCCTCATTTTGCATAAATAAAGCTGATGCAAATACATACAAACCTGAGGATGAATAAGCTTCTTTGAAATATCATTTAAAGGTTGGGAATTCAAGACAAAGCCCATGGCTTCTATCATGATCAAAATACTGACCTCAATTCCTATCTCGCATTGATCTTTAAGCCTTTTTAACAAAACAATTTAAAGCTTACAGGGCACTTCCATTTGCTTAATGCTTTACAAATATCTAGCTGCTCCCACAAAGTACTGTGATAGTTTCATGCTCATAATAAAGAGGACACAGTTCTGAAAATATTTTAAAGAGATCGGTGGAGGTAAGGTTTCCCAAAACTTCAACCTTGTTTTTAGAGGCCTTAATATCATATATTCTAAAAGGTAGTAATAATGTATGGGTAATTTGGACTTTGAAACAGAAGCATGTGGCAATATTTGGACAATAGATAGAAGTTAAAGTGTTAGGTTTATGACCTAACATCTATAGCAAACTGGGAAAGACAAACTAGGCTTAAGTTTTTTTTTTTTTAACTTCATCTTAATTAAAAAATAAATAAATACATTATAATGTAGTCTACTCTTACATTTATGGAATTTCTTTCAAACTGTTCTATTTAATGGGTCACCCATGCTATGTGAATATTATAAATCCCATGATATAATGTGATGAGAACACTTCAGCTCTGTAGTATTTTTTTTAAAAGTCCATAAACCCAGGGTAACCTTGAGAAACACCAGAGAAATCCAAGTTTGGCAGGCATTCTAAACCATGCATAGCCAGTACTTCTCTTCAAGACTGTCAAGGTCATGAAATCTAGAAAATACTAAAAACCTGTGACAGACCAGAGGCGTGTGGGGAAATGTGCCAGCTAAATGCAATAACCTACAACACCCAACTAAATAAATGCCATGGACCAGACTCTGTAGCAGAAACAGAAGAATAATGAAAAATGGATAAAATCCAAACAATATATTTACTATGTATCAAGATTTGTTCACTAGTTGTGACAAACTTGTCATGATGTTAACAATAAGGAAATCTGCACAAACTTTGTAACTTTCCTATACATCCAAAATTATTCCAATATTAAAGGTTATTTTTTAAGAGGACAAGGCTAAGTAACTGAAAAGCAACTGCTCTCTATAGGAGGGTACATATTACCACATGATTGAGCTCTTAATCTTATTTCAACTTTTACAAATGATCAATGATGTGCTCTTAGAATTTGAAGAAACTTATTATAGGACATAGAGGATAGACACCGACAACTCCATTCTTGCATTCTCCCTGGTTTTCTTTTTAATTAAATGTTTGTTTATTTGTTTTCCTCTTATCTGACAGGAAGAGAGACAGAGGGAAACAGACATAGAGTGCCAGAGAGAGATCTTTCACTGGTGAGTTCACACCCCAAAGGCATAGAATAGCCACAGCTGGGCCAGGTGAAGTCAGGAGCCTAACTCTAAATCCCACATGAGCGGCAGGGACCCCGTACTGTACTTGAGTCATCACCCAGGCGTGCACTGGCAGGAAGCAAGGGAAAGCGGGAACCCCGACAGGAACTAGGCACTCCCACATGGATTATGGACACTCCGATCACTGACATCACCACTGCACCAACGCAGACTCCTTGTCTTGCTTTTCAACTTGATTCTCTGGTGAGAAGCATGAGGACTTGGGAATCACACACTTGTTCTAATAATGACATCCCTTTAAAGTCAGACACAGGGATAACTCTCCCTACCATTTAGACTGAAAAACTAAGTCAATCAAAATTCCGCTTCTTTCAGTGCTATGTGGATTACGAAGGACTTTGAAGCCAGCGCTGTTGATACATGACTTTGGAAGGAAAGTACAGTATCATAAACCTAAGGCTATATCAAATTGAGATTTTTGGACTGAATATATAAATTCAGACAGAAGTGAAAGTGGTGCCAGGGAAAAGGCATAAAAGCCTAGTGACTTCTACCAATGAGTGTCTAATTTCAACCAGCTGGATTAAACCTATTTTTTTAGGAAGAGAAATTTTAAAAATGCATGATTTGCCATTTCATGCAGACAACAATTATAGGAGGTGTGATAGTTATAGATCCAACAGGTAGGATCAGGAGGGAGGCAAAACCAATTTTACAGATAGGTTGTTTGCAGTGCAGAAAGTAATACTTAAATGGCTTATTTGATCCTAAGGAGTAAAGTCATACATTGGAAAATATAGACAATAAAAATGTGAAGATTATGTTTACAAAGATGATAAGCACTTTTGGAGCCTGTATAGAGCTGAAATATTGGATTTTAGAGTCTGGTGATAAGAATAGGAAATAGATGCAGAAGGTCTCCATGAAGACATGGCAAGAGAGAAATTGAGAGCAGCATCACAGGGAAAAAAATCCCCTCTAAGGACAGTGATGTCAACCACTTGCTACTTTCTCATGTTTGTGCTGAATGATCTTTCCTTTATTCCATTCCTTAAAGTCACCTACACTCAGCAACCTTATGGTTGAGATGCTTCAGGTGCTAAAGGAAGGTAAACGGTGTGCAGTGTGCAATGAAGCATCATAGAAACAGAGAAGTCTTTGAAAGAGGCACCTGGGATGGATGGCCAAGCAGCCAGCAAGCAAAAAATGCACATCTAAATGGGACAATGGGAAAGAAAGCAGCTCAGGAACCCTTGGTATCCGATGGTAATAACAGGAGTGAGAGCTCAGGTGCTAAGGTGGCTACTAATGGAAAGGTTACATCAAACACTTGCAAGACAGTAAAATGAATTATGTGGAACATGTGGCTGTATTTTTCATCTCAAAACATTCAGCAGTGATCTAATAATTTTCCATGTACACGGTGCTCTTACCTTCCTCTTGGCAAGTCTGCATCATCCTTTTTCCACCTCACAGTTGGTTGAGGATCTCCTTGGACCTGACAGCGAAATTCTACAGCTTCTTCCTCCAGCACCACCTGATTAATTGGCCTCCTGAGGAACGTGGGTCGTTCTTGGAAAAAAATAGTTAAATGAGATGAAATGTTATGCATGTTTTAAGTAAATTATGACAAAAGCAAAGGAAACATTTTTCCTTTTTTGGTACATAGATACCTAATTCTGATTCTTAGCTTTTTTTTCTCAAAAAAGCTTTTGTAATCCAATATCATTGAATAAAACAAAATATTTTGGAATACAATATTTTGTACATAACACCATGCATGAAAACTTGTAGAAAAATATTAAATTAATTTCTTAGCCAAATCAAGTGAGTTGTACCATTAAAGATTCAGAACACTGGATTCTACAGACATAAGGAGAGATAATGAAGGTCTTCAAAGGTACGTGGAAATGTGTACTCTTAAAAATGTACACAATTTCTAAAAAATCTTGCACCCAAATAAACTTATCTTTTAATCCACTTTACCTTGAAAGTGTTATTAGCAAATGTCTTCAAATCATAGACAAGCTGAGTATGGCTAATTAGAGTAGAAAAAGAACTAAATCAATGTAAAGAAAGATGAGATCCATAGGGAGTTAACACAACTTATGTGGCCATTTGGCATAATTAGCCATTTAAGGCTGTAGTTCCAAACCTTCATATTTACACTTTTGAATACAGTGGCAAAAAGAAGTTGAACATATTTTGAAGGAAAACTTCAAAGAAAATAAATCACTTCAAATAACATATGTTGAGAATTTGGAATGGTAGTATAAGATTTTGTTGACTAAATCAAGATCCATATTTATAAAGCAAATGTATAAGTTGCAAAAGAAATATTTTATTGCAATAAAGCCAACCATCTCTGCCATTCAGAATGACAACTGTATCTCTTCATAGAGAATCTGACAGTAGAATCAAAATTCTTTTTCAAAATATAGATCTGCTTCTGTTTGTATATCCATTTTTTAAAATATTTTGTTTATTTATTTGAGAGGTAGAGTTATAGTCAGAGACAGGGAGAGACAGAGAGAAAGGTTTTCCATCTGTTGGTTCACTCTCCAAATGGAATCAGTGGCCTCAGCTGGGCCAGTCTGAAGCCAGGAGCTTCTTCTAGGTCCCCCTTGTGGGTTTAGGGGCACAAGGACTTGCGCCATCCTCCACTGGCCCCCCAGGCGACAGCAGAGAGCTGGATTGGAAGAGGAGCCGCCGGGGCATGAACCGGAGCCCATATGGGATGCTGGTGCTGCAGGCGGAGGGAGGCTTCATCCATTGTGCCACAGCACTGGTCCCTGTGTATCCATCCATTTTAAGACTCCACACAAGGCTATTCATTTAAATGCTGTATGAACCCAATGCATATCCGATTAATTTAAATGCTGTATTAAACCAATGCTAAAGAGGGCTACGTCATGACTGGGCTCAGTTGAGATGAAGAAATGATTTGTGAAGAGAAGATCCTTCCTGTCCTGTCTGATTTTAGTAGGATATTGTACTATGACTTGGCTCCGGGATGACTAAGCTAGAGAAGTCTTTCCCTCCTCCGCTCACTCATTCAGCAGTGTGAATACAGCTTCTCTTACAAGCTCCAAGGTGGGTGGATGGTGCATCATTGGCAGCTTGGTTTCCCTGGGGAAAGGATAGAGAATGAAGCAAGCCAGGGAGTTAGTCTCAACACCCTAAAGGTGTCATACTCCAGATCTACGAATATGAGCTCTGCCCTGAGGTGGACAGAGAGGAGCTGTTAAAGGACTGTAAGCAAGACAACAACATTTTTAACAAGCTTATGACAAAGAGCATGTGGGCAGACCCATGAATGATGAAATTGAAGAGAAACACAAAGCAGACACTTAAGTCAAATGGATATTCTAAGAAATCATTTTGGCTGAAAACGGCTGTAGTGGTTCTGGTCAATTGGAAAAGACTGCGGATTTAAAAGAGTAAAACTAACTCATCAGTCAAAAGTAGAGGATGAGAAAGAAAAGTCTGGGAACATTTTGAACTCTGACAAATAGGAACAATTTGGCAGGCAAAACAAGGATATGAAGTGTGTGTGTATAAATGAAATGGTAGCTGTCACAGAAGTATGCTTAAGTCATCGTTAGTTGTGCTCGTTTCTTGAAGACAGGTTGATTTCGAAATAATGTGAAATGGGAGGGTATTATGTACAGGAATAGAAAGAAAATTAAATACTAACACCTTAAGATGTAGCTCCTGGATTAAAAAAACTAAGTAAAACAAGAATCAAAATAATCTTCTTAAACATGATGAAGATATTTTTCAGAGATCAAAGGAAAAAGGTACTTTATAAAGTAAGATATAAGTCATGCCTGATGGAACAAGGACACAAGCCTCAGCCATTCTTGCTCATGCCCAAAGATAGATAAAAATTGGAATGTATTCCTTGCCCTTGAATCTCAACTGGGTCTCACACCCTATGGCCTTCATACCCCACCCTGCATTCTTCTCCAGGTTCCCAAGGCCCCGCCCAGTTCCAGGAATTCCTCTCCATCTGCTGCCCCCTACCCCCAGCCCCATCCCTAGCCCTCCTTAAAAAGGCCAGGCCCAGAGAGTCAGGGCCTTCTTCCACGTGCTCTAGCAATGTGCATGCGGGCATGCGGGCAGTTGGTCTCCCACCTCTATGAATTTATTTTCTCTGAATAAATTCGGTCTGGCTGTAAATTTGTACACTGCCTCCTCTCTATTCTGTGCCTCTTTTCCTAACATTTTGGTGCCCGTATGAGGCAGCACCAATCTGCAACTCTTTTCCTAACAATCCCCATAAAAATAAGGAACAAGATGGACAAACTGATATTAGTAACAAGTAAGAAAATGAAAGTTGGAATACTTAAAAACCAAAATAACACTTCCTTGCAGACATCTGATAATAAAATACACAAAAACAGAGAACAATAACTTTAATAACCTATAATTGCATACAAAATAAGAAATGCATAGAATCATTGTGGCAATGCTGGAATATTAGAAAATGGAGGATTTTAGGAAAATGGTGGCAAATTCACACATTGAAAAACTGTTAAGTCATTTGAACACTAATGCTACCTATCTCGCATAGAGCACTTTCATGACAGTGAGTGGAATTAAAATAAATCGTAAAACAATATGTGAGATTCAACTCCTTGAAAAACATATTTCAGGCAATTTTTTTAATGATTTCTTTAACATTTACCAGTGACAAAATTGCAACAGGTAATTAATCTGAAGGGCCAACTCCAAATTAGACAGGTCACCAAACCAAGCTGTCCCTTTCTCCAGGCGACACCAGCAGACTCCTTAAGGGTTTTTGGTTATCATCCATGTTCTAAGGCCTAATGTTTTATAGGAAGACACGTGGAAACACCTAATTTATAATTTCAAGAAGTAAGATATGGCTCCCTGCTGGTGTTCTGATGAACTCAGCAGGGGTGGGGAACTTCACAATGAATCTGCTCTCTTCCTTTCTGCCCTCAAGCAGAGTACAGTTGCTTAGCAACAGGATAACCACAGGAGAGTATGGCACATAATTTTTGGAAGCCTGATATTGGCTCATGGTAGAAAATATGGTTGATTAAAAAAAAAAAAACTGCTGCCAAGAATAACCAAGATGAAAGTCATTTGCATTCTCATGATATCTCAAGATGGTTTTGATAGCGAGGCATCTTGGATTGTGCCATCCAACAAAGTAACAAGGGAATTTACAGATCTATTGGAGTTTGGTCACAAATTTTTAAATATCACTTTAATAATTTCTGAAAAACCCTTTCCAGTGTTTACCTCTAAACTGTATAACTCATGATCCCAATTGTCTGCTGTTAATTATGCTAAACTCGCCTCCTGGTTTGCAATTTTCATAACCGCCTCCAGAAAACAATATGGTAAGAACTATAGGCTAGCCTAATGTTTATTTAAATGAAAGGAAATTGTTGTAAGAATTATTTTCCACATACTTTAGCCTTTATCTCTGGAAACTCTGAGACTCAAAAGCATGACTACTAAAGACTAGAGAATTCATGCAGGCCAAAAATGTATCTTAAATGCTTTGCATTTACAGAAGCGACTGTTCTCACAAACCACACAAAGCCAAGGCCATTTGAGACACAAATCACAAAAAATTATAAGTAAGTGCTCTGCAACTCCACTTTTATCTCAGTACCATGATCAAGAAATGTACAGTTAGAAGCGTTAGAAAGTAAGTTAACAATATATATTATATAGTATATAATATATTATTTAATATAATATATAAATAATACATATTAAACCTCAGAACGTTTGCATTCGTGAAGTTTTGTACAATTAAATTTGTATGAAAATGTTGAGCAACAAGCACACTTAGTTTTAAGGCATGTCAAAATCAGATCACTGTTTTTTGCCATGTTACCTCCTCTTGTCTGACTACATACTGACAAACAGGAGGAGAAATCTCAAAGGCTGTTTCCTGACTACTTATCAATTAGATTGGAGTCCCTCTGAACAGGCTGATCCCTAATTATATAACTGTGGAGTGATCAGAGTCAATGTCTTTGCCAATGCAATTAGGAATTTTTTTTTTTTCTGTGAGATTAACTGGATTTGAATCACCTGCACAACTTACTTACAAGTTTAACCTCTCTTGAGACAGTAGTGTTGTTTGCCAGCGTGTTACTCTGAAAAGTACAGTTCTCCAGTAGTTCTGTCAATTTATTGCCAAACTGGCATTCCAAAAAAATCAACTTTATATGTGACTATCATAAAATCAAACGCCAAGTCCCATGGTTGCTACGTCAACAATATTCAGAAGGCAAAATATTCAATTTATCACAAAATGCCATAAATCTGAAATGAGGCTCTATAATATCTCTTCTGTTTCTTACTTATATGCCACAATGAAGAAAAATAAGTGTCCAGTGAAAAAAATTCTTTCAACTGTATTGGACATAGAAAATTGTTATAATTGTCAATGGCCATGCCAATGCCACCTACTTATAGGATAACTTAAAAAATTTATAATTAAACTTAACTTGATTTTATAAAAGTAATGTTGTGGTATTAATTACACAAATGGAATCCTTAAAGACCAAACCTATGCAATA